GCTAAGACATACGGACCATTTTCGATTACGTCACTATACCTAACTTGACTGCTCTGACTGGAATATACAAATTTTTTCACTGAATGTTTCATTATTTCAGCAATGATAACACTTAAATTCTGAAGTATAGCAACGGACCAGAATCGAATTAGCATTAGCACCAAAATTCAAAATTTATTGATTAATAAGTTATTAAAATGTTGAGCTGATATCGTCAGAAATTTAGCACTTGTCTCGCTATTGCTCTGCAAGTCGAAGAATCACAAAGCCGTTAAATCGGACAAACGGCGGGTTACGCTTCTAGCAAATTATGTTAATTAATTTAGTAAAGTTGCAATAGTTAGTGAAATTACAACGAGCTGATTACGGCTAGCGCGTTTGATTAGCCAAATGGGCAATTTTACACGCGCCTCTGTTGTAAATTTGGCACGGCGGCCCTTTGCAAAATCATTACAAACGCTTTGTAATTCGGTTTTTATACAGGCAATCAGCGGTCCTCAAACAATCTATATTAATAAAAGAACGGTAAGCACCACCTGAACTGCAGTTACAAAAATTGGAGGGCAAATTGAGTTTATGATGAAGTATTTTTTTTTATTTCGCTTGGTCAATATTTTATGATAAACCTTGCCTTTCGATTTCTATTTTTATGTTCTGCGTTTTTTTCTGTATCCCATGATCTATGAAACTAACAAAATTATAACTTCTCTGGCCTGAATTAACTACTTTTAACGTCATTTTCATTAAACCCAAAAATACACTTCTGTTTTCTCTTTGGCCTTGGAATTTGTTCAAAATATGATCACCAGGTCTAGATGAAGTGCCGTCAGGATTGCTTAAGCTACTTGAGAAGGACCAAATCAAAGCTGTTACAAAAATTTTTAATTCCATTTATTCAACATCTGTGGCGACTACCGTACTATTAGCATGATGAGTCATTGGTTGAACGTATTTTTAAAGGTCATAGGATCTATCGAAAATGCGAAGAACAAATAGCGCAAAATCAGTTTCGATGTGCGGACGCCGTAGTCCCAAGAAAGGCCTTCTTCAGTGTGCAAGTTTTATTTCAAAAATGTAGGAACGTGAGCTGTCATGTATTTGCCTGTCTAATAGACTATAAAAAGACCGTGTAAGACATGACCAGATGATAAATGTCCTGAAGGAAACCTTTATGGACTGAAAAGATCTGCAAATCATAGCTAATCTCAATCGGACCCAGTCCGCAGTCCCCAGGGTAGATGGTGAGCAGTCGCAGCAGCAAGTCGATATTTTGCGAGGTGTTAGATGTATCATTTCGATCTATATTCTGAGCGTATCTTTAGAGAAACACCAAAAGATATAGATGAAGGTATCTCCAAAAATGGTCTCAAATTTTTGCAAAAGGTAATGGACAAAGTTACAGAGACAAGTAAACAATATAGATTTGAAATAGACACCGGTAAAACCAAACGTTTTATAATAAGCAAGAAAGACATCAATGGAGCAAATATATATATATATATATATATATATATATATATATATATATATATATATATATATATATATATATATATATATATATATATATATATATATATATATATATATATATATATATTCTCACGTATTGATTCACGGATGGAAAAATGTGATGACACTATATTCCGGGATATCATCCGTTCGCTCGTTGAACTCCGACTGGAATCCTGCATCCGACTGGAATCCTGCAAATCTTGCATCCGACTGGAATCCTGCAGGATTCCAGTCGGATGCAAGATTTGCAGGATTCCAGTCGGATGCAGGATTCCAGTCGGAGTTCAACGAGCGAACGGATGATATCCCGCAATATAGTGTCATCATTATATATATATATATATATATATATATATATATATATATATATATATATATATATATATATATATATATATATATATATATATATATATATATATATATATATATATATATATATATATATATATATATATATATATATATATATATATATATATATATATATATATATATATATATATATATATAAACCAAACAAGAATCTCACAATATAATTACTTGCAAACTGTAATTAATGAATCGTGGGACAATTCTCAAGAGATCCGGTGTAGAATTAGAAAGGCAAAAGGTGCTATCTTAGCTATGGGTCGAGTACTCACTGGAAATAAAAGAAAACGTTACGTGTAAACATGTCCAATTTCCAAGCCTTAGAATGCTGACTGTACAGGAAAATCTTAAAGATACCATGATCCCATAAGGTTACTAATGAAGAAGTGTTACGAAGAATGAAAAAAAAAGAGACAACATCATCGCAAACTTCAATACCTGGATCACATCATCAAGAATAAAGGAAGATAAGATTAATCCAGTGTATTTTTCAGGCAAAAATTCCAGTAAGAAGAGCACCAGGACGCAGGAGACTCTCTCTTTTCTGGCCAATCTTCAAGGATGGTTTGGTAAGTCTTCCTCAAAACTGTCCGGTTTGCGACCAACAAAATTATCGTAGCCGGAATAATCACCAACTTTCGTATCGGCCAGACACCCTAAGAAGAAGATGGGAACATATCAGCAAAAAAGCGACGTAAACGGCGGTAGATTGCGACAAATTTTGCGAATTCAATTTTTAACCGCAACGTGGCGGAACAATGGGGGAGAAAAGAAATATGGTACGTTGCAACGGACTTTTATGGATGTCGCTTACGCTAAAACCGGATTTAAATTTCTAATGTCCGGACATAATTCTTCCTTTAAATCTATAAAAGCGGCCTTAACTTAGGAGCTAAATCGATGTATGAATTCGTAATGCGCATAATTTATCATATTTTGTTGTTTACGTGTTGGGGGACATGTGACGGAATTAATGAACTCAGAAGTCATGATACTTTATTGTGCTGTTAATAGTAGATTGGGATGCTAGCTGCTTGATGGCTACTAACCTGGGGACCATCTTGAACTTGCAATAAAATTTACAATTCTTTTGCCTTATTGGTAACATTCCGGTTTACCACTTTCCGTTTTTCATATTCAGTACTACCATTAGCAATAAACCGTTCCATTAAACACTGAAGAGATTGTCGAGTTGGTACTTCGACTTGTAAAGTTTTAATTTCTTCCGCATCACCCAGTATATAAAGCATATCAATTAATCCACCTCTAGGCTTTAGACATTCAATGTCGGAAATGAAGTTTACAGGCCCTAAAATGATTATGAATTTCTAATATAAAGGAGCCCCAATAATTTTTGATGGATCCTGAAAAAAGCCTATGTTCCCATACTGAGTTTTTCCGATTTGGAGTTGTTAGAAAACAATCGAGCAGCCCATAAACACTACCTATACTATTTACTAAACTTGCTAACGTTTCGCCAATTACTCTGTTCGCTTACTCAGAGCTTAAGTAAAACTGCGTACACAGTTTTTGTTATTTCAATAGAGATCTTTAACCGCCTTTTTATAAATTGATTTTATATTCTGGCTTTCCATTGCTTGCCTCACTTTTGAGGGAGGTACGCTATCATAAGTTTTTTTTTATGGTACAGATAGATCATATCAAATATATGATCTACCTGCTCGGGTTCCTTCTGACTATGTCATTTCTTTTTTATACACGTTCTTTATGATTTTTCTATAAATTCTTCCATTGAACCTCAAAACTATTAGTTAGGTAGTTAGTCAAACTATCTCTTTGTCTCTCCCCTTTTAATGAAAATTCATGATTGATTTATTGATTAAACTAATGGCCAACTAATGGTGTTTAAATTTGTTACTGGGTAAATGTCCCAGGCTATTTCTGAAGGTTCCAATTAATGGAATTGATAATGGTTGTACTGTTATATATAATCAATGGGAAACATTTGGCGTGCTAGCAGGCAAAACCGCTTAATCAGTTTTTGTTTTCTTATATTTTGACGCATTAAATTAATTCTGGCTTTTTAACGCCAATAATGGACCAATTTTTTTGGCGGTTTATGTGATCAACAATGTTCTTGTCCAGAGACAATCAGGAATCCTTTGGGGTATTAGTAGACAAAATAAAAAGGATTTTTAATCTTTTTTTTTTATATTCTTATAAGATTTGATTTACTCTTTTCGACGCACTTTTAAATCAATGGCACGATTCTAAAACAGGTTTTTAATGTTCAACATTAGATGCTTGGTCCGGTATGCGCGTTTATTCTTCACATACAGATGTGCTAGCATGTCGGCAAACCTTGAAGTTTATGTTCAAAATGACGTTTTCGGGCCCCAAAATAATTAACTTTTTTTTTTTTAAGGGAGCGTTTATAATTTTGTTAGTTACACGTATAATGTAATAATTGTAACATTGCTTATGTCGGAGGATCTTTCAAAGCTTCTCCCTCTCCTTATACTTTAAAACACACTGCTCTCTTAAATCACGTACATACTCTTTCGAAGGTGAAGCTGCGAATTAAACTGAATAAGAAGGGAATTCGATTCCGACTAATGAAGACACGTAGACCAAGATCCAACAAATCCTGTCGTCTTCACCTCTTATTTCGTTAAAAATTCAAAACGTAGGAGTATGGAAACTTGTGGTGAAGTGTATTATGTGGTGGAACGCTTAATATCTTTAATGTGGAGATTATTAGAGAGAAGAGCAGAGGTAAGGTGTTTGAATTCTGAGTTTAGTGACTCGGGCTGAGATAGTTTTACGCCTCTGTAAACAAGAGAGTTTAAAACCGATGATTTTTGCCCGGATGGTGATGTGACAATGCATTAAGGTATCAGTTTTTGTGCGCAGATTTTCTATAAACACAATGACCCAATGTTATAATTAGTTTATTATTCAGTGGTAAAACGTAGGTTAGGGTGTATATAAATTTGGATGTAGATCGAAGGTGTAGAGAGCTTTCTTCCCAGAGGCTCTCCATAAATATTCAAAAATTTGACCATTATAAGAAAAATATGTTCCAGACAAGTACTTATTAATTAAGGTGAGAAGGTTTGGTTCAAGATTTTCGGATTTTAATATATCTGAAATTATGTCGAGATTTTCCGAAATAGGGACTTTAGTAAAAATCGTCTCAGCAAACGCTGAACGGCAGTTTGCTGATCTGGATGGACGGGAGTGTTTGATCCGGATGGGGTTCTTGTCCTAGAAGCGGTCCTTAATGTGCGAGCGACGCCAATGGTCACTTGCCTTACTTTGGTGGTACTGACGTTCCGTGGAGCCGGGCTAGCCGGAAACCTCAAACCGCTAGGAGTCCGCGGTCTTGAACTGGTCCCGTTGAAGGTGGTCTTACGAGCAGTCGAAAGGGCGGAGCTTCGTCCGGAAGACGTGGGCGTCTTTCTGGGTATTCTCGAGGGTGTATCGTTTGTACTGTCCAAAGACAAATTAGACCCGTGCCTAGACGGTGGCTTGCTACCAGGTCTGCTGCCCGTACGGGAGGTGGGTCTGGAATTCCTCCTCGACCCTCCGGGTGTCAACGCCGACCTATACGATGGTTTTCTGGGTGTTCGAAAACCGCCTTCGTTATCGGTCAACGAGTCTGGAGTACCGGCCGACAATGATGTTTTCGGCAGACTGCCCAATCCCATCGACACCGACTTCTGCGATCTTTCCCGGACCCAATAGCAAGTGTTGGGATTAACGTGGGCCATATGAAGGGTGGGTACAGCTGTGGAGCCCACATGCAGTGGATAATGGACTCGTCACGGATCGTTCTTCAATAGGAATTCGTCAAGGGCCACCTAGCCGCCGCCGACGCGTATCATGACGGTACTGCACAGTACACGTACGAGCCGAACATGGAACTAACCAGAGTATCTTGTGTATCTACTGTAATGCTTTTTAACAAAAATGCGAGCAAGATTTAGTTAAGCTCTGAAGAAGCTAGCAGGATGATTGGCGAAACGTTAGCAAGTTCGGCTCAACAACAACCGACGCAGCACGAATCCAGAAGTTTTGTAAATAGTATTACAGTTGCCTGTGGAAGTTTCTTTGAAATACTACACTACCTATTTATATGTCAGTTTGTTACTTAACACAGTTTTTGTTAATTCGATACAGATCTTTAACCGCCTTTTTATAAATTGAATTTATATTCTGGCTTTCCATGGCTTGACACACTTTTGAGAGATGTACGCTAACATAATTTTTTTTATGGTAGATATAGATTAGATGTGTTATTAAGTTTTAGGGTAAGTCTTTTGTCTGTCACCTGTTGTGTATCAAATATATATACCTGCTCGAGTTCCTTCTATGTCATTTCTTTTTTATACGCGTTCTTTATGATTTTTCTATGAATTCTTCCATTGAACCTCGACACTATTAGTTAGGTAGTTACTCAAATTATCTCTTGTTCATTCATTCAAATCAATTCGTTATTGATTTATTGATTAAACTAATGGCCAACTAATGGTGTTTAAATTTGTTACTAGATAAATGTCCCAGACTATTTCTGAAGGTTCGAATTAATCAAATTGATAATGTTTGTACTGTTATATATAGTCAATGGGAAACATTTGGCATGCTAGCAGGCAAAACCGCTTAATCAGTTTTTGTTTTCTCATATTAAATTAATGCTGGCTTTTTAACACCAATAATGGACCAATTTTTTTTGGCGGTTTATGTGATCAACAATGTTCTTGTCCAGAGACAATTAGGAATCCTTTGTTGTATTAGTAGACAAAATAAAAACGATTCTTAATCATTTTTTTTATATTCTTATAAGATTTGATTAACTCTTTTCGACGCACTTTTAAATCAGTGTGCACCATTCTAAAAAATGTTTTTAATGTTCAACATTAGATGCTTGGTCCGGTATGCGCTGACTGTTTATTCTTCACATACAGATGTGCTAGCATGTCGACAAATCTTGAATTTTATGTTCAAAATGACGTTTTCGAGCCCCAAAATAATTAACATTTCTTTTTGAAGGGAGCGTTTATTATTTTTGTTAGTTACACATATTATGTAATAATTGTAACCTTGCTTATGTCGGAGGATCTTTCAAACCGTATCCCTCTCCTTATACTTTAAAACACACTGCTCTCTTAAATCACGTACATATTCTTTCGAAGGTGAAGCTGTGTTGTGAATTAAACTGAATATGAAGGGAATCGAAGTTTTCGATTCCGACTTATGAAGACACGTAGGCCGAGATCCAACAATTTCTGTCGTCTTGACCTCTTCTTTCGTTGAAAATTCAAAACGTAGGAGTATGGAATTAAGTGAACATGCTTCGGATAACTGATCCCATATTGGTGGAAGGGTAAAGGCCTGAGTCATGATTAAGATTGTTGGGTTACTTATAGATTTCTATGGATTCTCGCATTTTTGGTAGAAAAAGCTCTGAAGAAGCCAACATGATGATTGGCAAAAAGTCAGCGAGGTTGATTTGCAAATAGTATTACAGTGGCCTGTGGAAGTTTCTTTGAAAAATTAACGATACTACTGGTACTCCAGGAGTAAGTTTTCTCCAAAAATAAATAATGACCCTTATAGTTTGTTCCCTGGCAACCAACATTTGTAAGATACCGCGAGTCTAAAACTTTTAAGTGGGATACGTGAACATTAGAACTCAGGTAGAACTTAATTAAGTAAAAATATCCCCATGTGTGACTCCATAATGTTCATAAATTCGACAGTTGCACAAAAAATATGTGTCAGGCAACTATTTTTTAATTAAAATGAGAAGATTTGATTCCAGATTCTTGGATTTTATTATATATAATATAATTATATTATTATATAGATTATATTATCCGAAATTATATTGAGAGATTGAAGAACAGGGATTTTAGTAAAGTGGGATTATACGTAGAACACTAACCAGAGTATCATTTGTATCTGATGTAATTTGTTTTAATTATTGAATGAAATGAAGGGTTTTATTATGTTAATTCTTGTGTTACACAACTTATTTGTTTTTAGAGATATCAGGGTAAACAAAAAAACTAAATGTAGGATTAGTAGCCATGCTTTTTTCAAGTGACGTATAAAACAAAACGCTATAAATTTTCTGACATATAAGCCCACATAATATTTTTTTTAATTAAGCACCCTGTATATTATATATATATATATATATATATATATATATATATATATATATATATATATATATATATATATATATATATATATATATATATATATATATATATATATATATATATATATATATATATATATATATATATATATATGTTTAATAGAATATCTTACTCCGATTAGAATAATGTAGCACACTTTATATTTTAGTCCACTCGTTTTTGACAAATCGGCAAAAATAGGACATTTTAATGTAATTTCAAAGAGTGCTGTGATTGACTGCAACAATAATTATTTACAAATTAAAGTAGAACAAAAACGTTAAAAATATCAAGACACACTAAAGTAAAAAATTCTTTAACTATTCTAAATACTGCTGTATGTAACCACCATTTTCCTGAACACATTTCTCATACACTCTAATTGTATTATGTCTTTCATTAAGTATCGTTTCCGGATTGTCTCTTACTGATTGATTGCCTCTGAAGTCCTTTGCAGACATCATTACAAGGAGTTCAGGGCACGTGATCTTTTATGTGTCCCCAAAATAAAAAATCCATTAAAGTTAAGTTAGAGCTGCTTGCTGGTCAATCCATAGTTCCATCCTATCCAACCCCTGGGATACTCCATGTTAAGAAAATTTTTAACTGCCACAGTATTGTCAGGAGGAGGACCGTCTTGCTGCCATATAATCCGCGCTGAGGTATATATATATATATATATATATATATATATATATATATATATATATATATATATATATATATATATATATATATATATATATATATATATATATATATATATATATATATATATATATATATATATATATATATATATATATGTATATATATATATATATATATATATATATATATATATATATATATATATATATATATATATATATATATATATATACGGGCAAATCTTCTATATATTGTTTTATTTGGTGCTCTAAGAGCTGCAAATAATGATCTCCAGTTAACTTTTGATATATAAATATCGGACCCAAAAATGCCCATCCATGGCACCACACCATACATTAATTGATTGGTAACCTTGAGTTTTTATTTCGTGTATTTGACTAGGATTATTTGAAGATCAATATCGCGTATTTTGCCTATTTCAACCCTTTCTTATAGTAAAAAATCTTTCATCAGTCATAAAATGTTTTTTAAAAAAATGTTATTCTCATTATGCCTATTTAAAAAATTAAAACAAAACTGCCTCCTCCTTTGACATGATCTGCACTTGGTTTTTGAGTTTTAATGCATTATATTTATATTCTTTCAAAACTGAGTGGATTAATCCCCGAGAAATACCCGTTTCTTCATATACTCTAGTAAAAGAGGAAACCGGATGTGCTTCATAGAATCCTAATATGTTTGCCTTATTTTCATCATTTATTTGTCAGAAAATTGAAAGTGTTTTGTTTGATACATCACTTGGAAAAAAACTGGGCAACTAACCCTATATTTGGTTTTATTGTTTACCTTGATACCTCTAAAACCAAAAAAATTACAGCCAATTACAAGGTTATCAAGATAAATTGAACGCACGGTACATCCAAAAATTATCTACAAAAATATTTGTTACCACTATTGTGCTCCTTATAATCTTTAGTCTTAGTTAGTTTAGAACCTTGGTAGTTTTTTTTTTATTGTTATGGTTCTTTCCTTGCAGATAGCTGAATAACCTTCTAAGAATTACATGATTATTCATCAAACAATTGGGTTACAAACAGGCAATGAGGTTAATAAACATTTTGATAGGCAACGTGTTCAGCCACCGCGTTCGACGGCAAAATCTAGATCGAACGTGCAGGTGTCCATTTTACCATGTCATGTTATCTCCAATGTTAACCAATCCACGTGAGTTTTGCATCGACGGCCCACATCATCTGAATCTAATAGACGTTAATTTTCTCTCGTTTTTGGATGTTTGATTGTACGAATGCACTCTTTTACCTCAGTTCCGAGTTTCTTTGTCTATATTTTATTCTCTATTCTACAGTCCCTATTACTTATTGCTGGTTACATCTGATTTTCTATAGGGAGTGAGAGAATCAAAGTAAAAAAAAGCACTCGCGCGTACAAAAATAATAAAACAACAAAAATAACATAGCAAAGGATTTTTTTTACCAATAACGTAATAATAACAATTAACGAAGCCAGAATTGGTCATTCTAAGTTTAAATGCAGCCAAGGTTTACAACTGAGTTTTAAATAAATGCAGATTAAGTTTTTCCTTTCTATTAGAGTGGTAAATGGAAAAACCTCAATTTCTGTTCTCGTTCTGGTTTCTTTTTTTTTACCACCTTTACCAAATTCTTAAAGGGTTTACAGAACATTAGATTTAGTGCGCAAAAGTATTTAGCGCGGTTAGCATCGCGATACTCTGCTACCTTTTACCTTCCCACCGCGAGGACTAATGACTTGAAGTTCTCTTCCTTATATAATATGTGCCACGTTTCCAACCGTACCAGCGATTTAGACATTTTTAATTGCAGTTTGAGTATCAGTAGGCTAAAATTCTGTTGTGCCTAGTCTTATTGCAATTTCGTTGCCTTCGCAGTTGAGTAATTTTCCTTGATTAGCAT